CAGTGTAACCCTTACGACAATGATAATACATTTTTAAATTACAGATATAGAAAATAAACACCTCTAGGAGAAGCTTGTTTGTTAACTTCACGTTTGACAAGTGTTCTGTATTAAATATCAATGACGCCGAATGACGATATATGACGCTTTACGACATAGTAATCCATAGCAACTAAGACCTCCTCATTTTCAATGTTGTTTTATCATGACGTCATATTACACTTTTGTTAATGAATTCTCGGAATATGATACCATTATCTGTGACGTCAGTGACACATTGCCCCATCAACAAATAAACAAACAAATGAACTATACGTCATCAAATTCTTCTAATATAATTCTGTATTTTTGTATATTCTTGTTTTATTCCAGTTTCGTGTCCGTTTCTTTCGTTATATCCCAGCAGTATATGTGTATGTGCCCATGTATTACAAACACGACAAACCTTATTTGTAACTTGCTTCTTATTTTGCTAAATGTCTAGTATGAGCACTCTGTATGAGTTTTCATTATATTCTATAGCCTACATGTATGTATTGACCAAGGGTGTTTAATATTAAAAGGCAACAGTAAAATACAGTATTCTATTTTGGAATTTCTATAATTCATGTATACACTTATTACATGAACCACGGACCCTTAAAGTCCGTGCATGACTATTCATTTATATGTATTTCTATTGAAATCATTAAGCTTACTTTGTTTGGTTTTTCCATTCTGTCAAAACAAATACCATCAAACATGTCAAACAAGCCGCATACAAAACTTTGTTCAATTTATGTTATTATTCTATATTTTTTTATGATTATAGTTACCAGTTAAAAATATTTTCCCAATGAGTATTAACGACCATTGTCGGACATGCCGGATACAATGCGAAACACGTCCGTAGCCGTTCACAAAAACAAATTATTTGTGTACTCCATGCAGTAGACGTATCTTGTTCAAATCTGACAGCTTTACATAACCTCGGGGTGAGGAATGCACAGGGAATTGCAACGGTTGCTTGATAAGGCTTTTCATGTTTTTAACGTCAAAACAATGCTAACGTCGTGAAAATAGAACAGCATTATAGAAACCTGTTATTGGAACAAGGTATAGAATTAAGATTGATATCTGTCGCTGAAAACTAGTACACTATAGTCTGTCGTATGACGATATTTGAAATAAAGAGTTCTGATTGGTTAAACTGGTTTTTGGTTGAGTTGAATTTTATGTGTGAGTTGTACAAGGTTGAGTTGACCAGAGGGCCAGAGGGCAGGATACGATGAAGACTATGTGATTGTTGCTTCTTGTTTGGTGTTTGCATTTTGGACCATGCTTTGTTGAGTATTGGGTATTGGTACTAGGTTTGATATACGGAAGTACATTAGGTATAGTACAACAAGGTACGCCTTTGACTTTATCACTTCTGGTAGTTTGAGATCAAATACTTGATGTTAGTTGTATTACGATAACGGAAGTTAGGGCGTGGCATGGCCCTCTGGCGCTCCGGGGTTGGATATCGTTATAAGCATTTCCATTTTATCTCTTATTGTTTGTGGCTTGTTTTATATTACTGTATGCATGTATTGTTATATGTTGTAAATAAATATTTGATGTTGTAAACCGTGTTGATTTTATCCGATTGTTATCCTTGTAAATACCCTTTGTCATTTGTTCTTTTTGCTCAGCTATATTTTCAGTACCATCAATACCCCCCTATTAAGGTACAACCCCACCCGAAAATCATCAAAAAGCACGCATGCTATATATCACGAGTGAAATCATTCATGCCTGGTCTGTAAGGTTATACTTGTGAAGCCAGTTCATTAAGACAGGACATGTTGAATTTTCACAATTGTTAACCTTAAATGTAACGTTATCCTTTCCCGAAAAATGAACAGAAATATTAGCATATTAGAATAGAGTCAAATATGGCTATTATTAGCCATTTTAAATCATCGTTTATTGAATAAATGTCTAACTGGGGCATCTAGCCCTCAATTTAAAAAATAATTTTTAATATTTTGGAATGATGTTTATCACGTGGACTTAGCTAGTTTATGTTTTTGTGAGCAGTCGATTTGGTTAAGAGTAGACGTCATATATTTAGTTAAATTATGACGCGAATTGACCCGTGGCTTTTGTATCATCGTCAAATCACATCAAACTTCAACGGCATTTTCAAGCGTAAAACAGACCTTTGACCCTATGTTTTCTTTATATCAAAATAAACACGAGAACACATTTTTTAAAATGAGCAAATAAAACAAATACCTCAATCGATTCGAAATTTGCGTAATTTTAGATTCAAAACGTGTCAGAATGTGAAAATGAAAAAGTTCATTTTTTAATGGAAAAACGTTACAAAATCTGACAAATAGCTTTGGGGTAGGGGAAACACTTTAAGTAGAAAAACTAAGAAAAAATGTCTTGAGTGTGCCAAAATTAAAACTAACGTAATTATAGATAAATGAAGTTTATCTAGGAGCTTAAAAAATCGTCAATACTTCCTAAATCATCATTTTATCAAAGAAATATAGAAAAAATATATTTTTGGCTGTGAAATCAATGCCGCCACAAATGTTCAAATGAGGATAACGTCACAACTATTTTCAAAAGCTTCTTGTGAAAAAACTAAACCTTTGACCTACCCTTTTTATTACATATTTCGAATCGCTTCATCTATGTCTATAATAAAAACCTAGTCTCGTTGAGATTGAAAATGGTCGATTTTTTCGGAGGTTACACTGGTATATCCTTAACAATGGCTAAACTGCACATATATTAGCTACTAAAGACAGGATAGAATAAATACTATGAAGATACGTTGTTGTTCCGAACCTAAATGGAGCTGTCAATAGCCTTTAATTGATTCTGCCAAGACAAACACTGCTCTCTGTATTGTTAACTAGATTTAATAGACCTCTGAAATTATGTCTGAAAAATAGCAAAAGTTAACCTTTCGGAAAGGTCACTAAACAGAATGATTGAATTTTCCAGAAAATGTGCCCAATCTTTGCTTGAAATGGTACAAGCTTGCACGGTAACCCAGTGTTACCTTCATACTAAACATGATATACCAGATCTTGACTTGTCCAGGTATATCATATAGAGTTCAGGCCCGTAGCAAGAATTTTCCAAGGGGGGGGGGGGTCACTTTTCCCAAAAAATCTAGGGGAGTTCACTTTGGCAAATTTGGCCAAAAAATCACTCAGAATGGTGAAAAACTGCATGATTTTGAAAGAAATTTTGGCCAGGGGGGGGGGGGTCGCCCGAACCCCCGAACCCCCCGCCTGGCTACGGGCCTGGAGTTGTTCAAGGTAGTAGACACAGAAAACATGTCATAGCATAGGAGGAATGATTTGACGAGTGCTCAGCTTTAGGACATATTTCACACTTTTGAAAGATGAGGTTTTTTACTATATTGATAAATAATTTTGTTGGATTAATGAATTATAACAAGCTATGTCATTTTAATTGAATGTGTCTTTGTTGCACTTTGTGCAAAAAATAAAAACTTCTATCGTTCAGTTTGAGGTGATTTCAGAACGCACGTATATAGCGTGTTTATAAATCCATTATGTTTATAACGTTTGAAGTGTGTCCACTTCGTCATCACCTGTCAGGTGGCTCTATCCATTTTTAAAGAACCATCGTTTATAAAACGTTGTAGTGAGTATATACGACATACATGATAGGGAATCATCGTGAAACTTGGCATGCAGTCATATTACTATTTAATTCACCTTATAAACAAGAAATTTGGAAGAGAAAATGATTCATTTTTGGTGAAAAGAGCACATTGCTATAAAGTACATCTTTTTGCAAAACGCAAAATATAAGTTGTGCTTTCAAGTATGAGCGAAATCTCTCTACTGTTTCTCAATCCCCTTCTTTTCTATTCCCTAACATTTGGGATCAAATGTTTTCTCACTTGACCTCAACCTCATTTTGATTATGAAGCATAATTATGTCATGGTCTATTACCATTATATGAACTTATTCGTATTTAGGATTTTGGCAAAAGGTTGATGGTTTGTCGATAACTTTATTTAAAGGCCTTCGGGTAAACAAATACCTTAATATACAGGGTGGTCCAAAAAAAAGTGAACCCCTGCAACGGGCCATATTTCCCTTATTACTTGCAGGAATTCTTTTATATTTTCACCATACACTTTTCTTAGTCTTGAAATTTGCAGAAATTATAAGCCCTAACCAAATATTACTGAAAATGGATAAAATGTGATTTTCAATATCCGCGATTCTTCAACCCTTCAACACCCTTCCCCTGACATTTTTCAAGCTGCACTCTTAAAGAACTAATATTTTTTCTCATTTTGTTCAATCTTGAATCCCGCACATTGTGGCTTAAAACTAGCACCCCACCTTTGTTAGTTGCAAAGTTCTTGTGATCCAAAGAAATGTTCTAAGCTTCCATAGACGAAAACATTTTCCAGTGAAATCGTCAACATACATGAAATCTGGCTCAAAACATTGAATATTAGATTTTCTTTTGATTTTTTAAAGATATTTGATGAAGGGCTTCTCAGATTCCTGGTCACAGGGGCCAACTTTCTTCCACAAGAGGCCCTCCTCTGTTGGTGTAGGTAACATACCCCTGAACTGTTGAACGGTTAAAACTGCTTCAAAATGATCAATGAAAGTGTGAAATGTGTTTTCTGCTTAAATAGTGTCCCTTTTGCCATATGGTAGGGTTTTAAACTTGTATCTCTATCTGAAAGCTGCTTAAGATCAACCAAAGTGTTTCAACAATTTCTGTGAATCACATTGGTGAAATTTTGCGCAATATCTAATTTTCAGGCATGTTTGCTAAACTCTTGTAATTTCTTCAAAATTTAAGACTGATAACAAATTATGGCATCAACCCAAATTTTAGACCTTTCTCTACATCATTTGATAATATGAGTCTATTCGTGCAAGTATTAAGGAAAATATAGCCTGTTGCAGGGGTTCACTTTTTTGGACCACCCTGTAAGTGTGATTACGAACATTATGACGTCTTGGTGCTGTAATTTATCTTTGATATAAGACATAATGCACGTATTGTAAAATTGTACATATAGAACGTTGAAGAGGACTGTATTAACAACATCGCCAGAGTCATGGAAACATACCCGCTAACGTATCACGACGTCATGGTGCTGTAATCGTCGTGATGGTGCTGTAATTTAATTTTGATATAAGACATACTGCACGTAAAAATTTGTACATATATAACATTGAAAACTGTATTAACAACATTAACAGCATCACTATGCAAGCATACCCGGTAAAATATTCCGAATTCACGTGCTTCAAGGATATTCTCAATGAAGGGAAATATATTGACCACTTGGACGAGAAATCGAAGAAGAAAGCAAAAGATGAATTATATGAAGATCCCAAGGAGAGAGATGCAGCTTTGAAACAATTTAGGGATTGGATAGTAGCCCAGCCTCACTATTCAGTGTGTAACGGTGAGTTTATATATACATTGACACTGTTCTCTCGATTTTGGGAAGCTTCGGTCGCCGTACCGTTGCCGGTAGTGCATCTTGTACGATTTTTAGTAACCGACAATTTTCTGAATAATTGGAGGGGAGCCGGGGAAAAAAAACCTTCAACCTTATGTTACTTTGTGGATGCATTCTGATACTCATAACATCTCTCTCTCTCTGTTGCATCGCAGATGTCCTCCAGAAGGATGGAGATGGAGAGGGCGTGGCTTACCACGATGTTGTGGATGTTGGAATGATTTTTATTGTGTTTCTTGTACTTTTCTTGTCTCTTTTTCATGTGTGCCACATTGAGCTTATACTAATTTAATAATCTCCATGCATTGTAGATGATACGTTTCTGTTGGCGTTTTTGAGGAGATGTAAATACAGTCAGTTGGAGGCGAGGACAATGTTTGATATTTTCCATAGCGCCACGTACAAAAAGACCCCTGAATGGATGGTCGATATTGATACCCAATCAAAGACTATACGTGCATTGGCAGATACGAGGTATGCTATGATAAGCATTTGGTTTCTTTGTTAAAAACTCTAGAGACATGTAATATAAATAAGAAGAGAAACTTACTACAAGGGCTAAATTGCCTCAATACCAAGTTATTTTAAAGGTAACCAGAGATTTAAAAGGGCTAATTATGCTATAGAGGCCAAACTGGTCAGTTGAGCCCAGGTTGTCCACATGTAAAGACATAGGCAGTTGAAGATTAGTTTTAGATATAATTTTAGGTGTGCACACTTTAGATAAGTTAGATAATCAAGATAAGTTACAAATTACAAACGAAAGAAACATCTTACCAACAAGGAGACAAGAACAACACGCTAAGGTAATCTTTCGTTCACATGGTGGCAGCGAAACAAAGAACAACGTCTCGAAGAAGAAGAATTTCCGAAAGAAAGAAGAATTTCGAAGAAGAAAGAAGAATTTTGCAGTTTGGTGAGAACACTTATTTTCTCCAATTTTCAAAAGGACAGTTAGGATTTTGATAATTTGAATTTCAATTCTATGTTAGGGCTCAACTCAATTTATAGAAGTTTAGATGTTTAGAAGTTTAGGTAGTTTTGCATATTCTAGAGGTGCAATTTGTAGACGTTATTTTAATAGAAGAGCAGTTACTAAAGTTTGCAATTTATAGATGGTCCCAGAAGGACAATTTCTTAGATGTCAGTTTATAGATGCTCATTAAGGTAGAAGTTGATTTTCTAGAAATGCTATTTTAGAGGTGCATTTAGACGTGCATTTAGATGTGCATTTAGAGGTGCAATTAGATCTGCATATAGAGGTGCATAATTTAGAAGTAATTGAATTTAGCATTATAGAAGTCTATATGGTAAAAGTTCATTTATAGAGGCAATTTTGAAGTACATTCCAGAAAACTGCAATGTGTAGTCTCAATTGAGATTGTTTTTAGAGGTTAGATGTTCATACACGTTAGATTGGAATATTGATAGTTATTACAGGTCCTATAGTACACATATTGCTAACAAGATGTATTTGAGAATTCAAGTAGACCATCCTATATTGCTAATCCAAGTAGCCAAGTTTAGTGCATAAGTAGCCAAGTTTAGTGTAAAATTAGCCAGCTTGAGTGTTCAGATTTCAACGGCACTGTTGAATTTCAAACAGCATTAAAATTACCTTGTATAAGATTAGGTATTGAGATCTCAGTCATTACATAGAATTTCATGAAATGTGGTGAAAAGGTGTGAAATGAGTTTAGTGTTGAGATTTCTTACTGATTTTTGCAGGCAGGCTTATTGACCACTTAAATAGAATTTTTAAGTGAGTGATACATTTTTAATTTGCATTGACTTTATTAGAAGGTCATAATGACTCTATTCACATCAATTGAGTGAGTTTGAATTCATGCAGAGAAAAGTTTAGCCTTTGAATTTAATCAATTAGAATTACATAATACATTTGGCTTGACTCAAATCAAAACAAATTGCATAATGCAAATGTAAATAAACAAACTGTACATATCTAAAGTACATGTACAATTTATTCAATTGAATTTTGAGAACTTATTTGATTGAGACATTTGATTGATTTTATTTCTCAATTCTCTGTGAATAGAGCAAGTTTATTTATGTAAGGGTATAAGGAATGCCCGATACTAGAAACAAAACATACGATTCATTCGAAGATAGACAAAAACAAGCCAAGAAGAAGAAGAAACCAAACACAATGTCAACAGAAAAACAAGAATTTTATGAAGCTGATGAAGAAGGGGCTCAAGGAGATACCATGGACCCAATGAAACAAATGATGACAATGATGGCTGCTATGATGAAAAACAGTGAAGCAGAACGTCAACATCAACATATGATGATGGAACTTCAACTTAAGGAGCAGCACAACATGTTAGACGCAGAAAGACAAGAGAGATTGAGACAAGAAAGGATCCACCGAGATGAACTTGAAGAAGAACGACGATTGAGAGCTGAATTAAGACGACAAGAGTTGGAGTTTAGAAATAAGCCGAAGGATCCACAAATCCAGAAGATGAAGGATGATGAAGACATTGAGAACTATCTCACAATATTCGAAAGAACTGCAGAGATGTGTGGGTGGAAAAGAGAATACTGGACTCTAAAATTAGGACCCAATCTCACTGGTAAAGCACAGTCTGCATATGCAAGTGTTGCCATTGAGGATGCCAGAGATTATGATGTTGTAAAAGAAGCCATTCTTCACAGATACTCCATCAATGACGAAACCTACAGAAAAAGATTTAGAAGTTTGAAGAGGAACACTGGTGAAGGAGTTAAAGCTTTTACAATCAGATTAGAAGACACCTTTAAGAAATGGATGAAAGATGCAGATACAGTTGAGAAAATTAAAGACAGAATTATGAAGGAACAACTAGTCAACACTCTTTCACTTGATGTCCAGACTTGGGTGAAAGAAAATGATGCCAAAACAACAGATGATGTCGTGAAACTAGCCGACAACTTTCTAGAAGCCAGGAAAAATGATCCACCAGTATGGAACAAAAGTCCAACCTTCAAGAGAAAGAACAAGACAGATGGCGCTCACAACAATTGTTTTAACTGTAATGAGCCAGGGCACCAAGCGAAGACTTGCCCTAATGAAACACTTTGTTTTAAATGCCATAAAACTGGCCACAAATCTGATAGTTGTAAATCAGAGAACAGAGCTGATAATAAAAGTTCTGTTAAATGTGACAATTGTGGTAAGGCTCATCCCACAGAAAATTGTATGGTAGACACGTCCCTTAAGTGTGAAAAATGCAATCAATATGGTCATGTCACAGCTAAATGTTATGTAGGAAATAAGCGTAGTTTCTTGTGCAGAAAAACTGAGGACCTATTCACAAAATACTCGCGTAGAGGCGATGGCACAGTCTTGGCAAATTTAGATAATGAAGAAATTGAAGTAATTGTAGATACAGGTAGCTGTCAAACTATTATACATGGAGATCTGATAAATGAAGATGCAGTTATACACAATGATAAAGTGAGCATGACATGTGTCCATGGAGACAGCAAAGTGTATTCAACTACATCAGCTGATATACAGATTGGTGATGAAACGTATAATGTACAAGCTGCTGTTTCAGATGATTTACCAGCCTCTGTTATCATTGGGCAAGACATCCTTAGCAGACTGGACACAGACATGATGAATCAACATGTGTACAAAAGAAAAACTGATGCATTCATTACAACAAGACAGCAATGGGAACAGATATTACAGATTGAAGATGATGTTAGCAAGAATATTAAAGCTGAGATGAAACTCACATCTGTCAAAGATGCAGCCGAAAATGATGATGATAATTTTGTCATACCATTCCAGTTTGATGATATGTTTAACAAAGATGATTTAGTAGCCAGAAGAAAAACAAAGAGTAAAGCTGATATTGACATGCTGCCTACAGACCTGACTTTACAAGATGATGCTGCTACACTTAAGTTAGTCAAGAGACCCCTAAAAGGAGACCTTGATGATGACCTTGATGAGAGGCAATTATTTCCTAATGGATAATCCAAGAAGTGACATAAAGTGATAGTGACACTTAATTGAATTTGAGATTTTTATAGAGTATTATATTTTATTTTGGAAAAGCTATCCAAGATATTTTATCACTGTAAATAGCAGAAAAACAGAAGAACAAGAAGAAGTTTATTGTATAAAAGCTTGTCTGAGTAACGACAAACTCAAGAAGGGGGGAGATGTAATATAAATAAGAAGAGAAACTTACTACAAGGGCTAAATTGCCTCAATACCAAGTTATTTTAAAGGTAACCAGAGATTTAAAAGGGCTAATTATGCTATAGAGGCCAAACTGGTCAGTTGAGCCCAGGTTGTCCACATGTAAAGACATAGGCAGTTGAAGATTAGTTTTAGATATAATTTTAGGTGTGCACACTTTAGATAAGTTAGATAATCAAGATAAGTTACAAATTACAAACGAAAGAAACATCTTACCAACAAGGAGACAAGAACAACACGCTAAGGTAATCTTTCGTTCACAAGACATATCATTAATATCGAGATAATCCTTCTCATTCAATTACATTCTTGACACCTTCATTTTAAAATATATCCTAAAATATTTATCCTAATTGAACTTTTAGTCCGCCATTTAAGACAATTTAACACCACATTTAATTTTCAATCTAATCCCCCCATACTATAATCTTGACCTCGGTGTTACATGCTTTTCCTGATTATTTTTCAGATGCCTATTGCCTCTCCCCATAAGAGATCACGAGGGAAGGCGCATTATCCTATGGAAGCCAGGCGGTTTTAATGCCAATACAAAGAAGACACCTTATAATGGCGAAACACTGTTCCAACTATGGGGAATATTTCTGTACCTTTTGCAACGAGAAGACATGACACAGGTGGAGTAGCACTATTTTAAAGATTTGATAAGAAGTTTGCACCAAAGTAGTATAAGGTCGATCAATATGATTGATCGATTGAATAATTGATCTGTTTAAGACTAGCAAGAATCATTTTCCTTCTCAGTGCCCTCGTTGTACCAACCATCCACCATGTCTTTCTGGAACCGTCTTTCTTACTAGCATAGGCTTTCAACATTTGAAAAAATCTGAATAAGAACAAGCTGAATAAGTAGATCTCAAATATTGTTTTGTCCTAATGATTTGTGCCTTTGAAACTACTAAATGGTGCTTGGATATTCATTTCACAATGCAATGTCTATCTTTATTTTGATGCTTTTGTTAGTCGAATGCTCGTATTCAACTGTTTCTTTATAGGCATGTTTGGTGTTTACTTTAGTGAAATAGTCTATGTACAGGATGGTCCAAAAAATTGGAACATTTGATAATTGAATGGAAAACCTTTATTTTTCTTCTAAAATGCACCAAGCTTTAACTGAGCATAGTTCAGTCACTAATCTATCTGATGTAAAGTTTATAGGTGCAAACCACAAAGTTAAAGCATTAAACTAGACAATGTTTAATATGTTTGATATTTTGATGTCCTACTTTGTATTTCAATGAATGGTACATGTTTTTAGGTGAATGGTTATGTGTTTTGGCATGATGGGGCGGGAATGACTATACCACACATAACATACGTTGGTGCTGACAAATTCAAGAATGTAATAAAAGTATTTTACGTAAGTGGACATATTCGAGATCTAAACAAGTTACAAATATATACCATATTCAATGTTCTTATCGTATCCTGGTCGATTTGCATTATTGTGTTTTGTGAATTATTGTGTTTTATGGATTATCACGCCCGGTGACCGTACAAAAATGATGGAGGGGGATTAGGCGATTTCTGCAAGAAAACTCAACAAAGGATGGGTATCGATATGGCGAACTTTTTGAACACACGTTTCTCTTAAACCAGTCATCAAAAAATTCTGAAAATTTTACACAGTGTCAATTTAATGGTCATCTTTTGAATGGTGATAATATAATTTGAAATATATATATACTTTCATCTATATTGTTTTAGAAAACACATCAAACACTTGTTTTGTTCTTGGTATCATGTTTCCAGAGTGAAATGAAACATCTTTCCGAACCTCATTGGAACAAAACGACATAAACACAACATGTTAAGGTGTCTCAACATTGTAATTGTACAAAGAAAAATTTGGTTGATTTTAAAAAAGTATCTTGTTAATGAAATAAAAGGTTTATCTTTATTTTTATCTATTTTGGGGGGATTTTGTTTTAATTTTTGAATATTTTTTAAAATCAACCAAAAATTCCTTTGTATAACTATAATATACAGAGGTCTAAAAACATGTCGTATATGCTATTTTGTTCCAACAAGGTTCGGAAAGGCATTTTATTTCATTCTCAAGAATTGGTACAAAGGAGCAAAAACAATTGCACTAAAAAAACAAAAAATGTTAACAAAAACAGTTATATAAAATATTTCTATATGATTTTCGCATTAAATTGTTGTCAATCAGTCAACATTACATAAAATACCGTGTTTTTTACAGAATGTTTTCAATGATTGGTTTAAGAGAAAAACATTGTTGAATTCAGTTCTCCATATCGATACCAATCCTTTGGAAGATTTACTTTTTTACAACTGAATTGCCAAATGAATAGGCGCAGTGCATGTCAAAATATGTTAGGTCATCTAGTATTTTTTTGAACTGATACCCTTCTAAGATATGAGATCTATTAAAAAAGGCGCATTATCACCAACGTGCAAAAGTCAATATTTTTGCTATAAATCGGGCAACAATGGTCTACACGACCTGTAATAAATAGGTATAAGGGACGTTATTATCACAATACTTATGACATTGCTCACTTTTTAAAGTTAGTTTCCATGCGTAATACAAAAAATAATCGAAATAAATTAATTTGGGATGGAGGGGGATCGGATGGAGGGGGGATTTATATATCTCTACGATGGAACAAATTCACAAGAACTCGTGTATTTGAAAAAAACAACTCAGTACCCCGGTAAGGAACTGGATATTATATCTCTGGAGAATCAAAACTGGATTTGGAGTCATAATAATAAATTCAAGTAGCATGTCTTATCATGTCTTATATACACGTGATCCCCCCTCCATCCGATCCCCCTCCATTCCAAATTAATTTATTTCGATCATTTTTTGTATAACGCATGGAAGATGGTTTTTAGTCTCCTCCCCCTTTGGCGCTTGTGTTTAGATATTTAATATCTGTTGTACATTTATTTTAGAATAACTTCCCAGCAAGAATCAAGAAGGTGGTTTATTACAACTGCGGTGCCATAATGGATGCTATGATGACCGTAATCTCGCCTGTTCTCTCACAGAAAATAAAGGACAGGGTAAGGCCAGTTTGTCAAAGTAAATAACATTAACCTATATAAAAAGAAAAGTACCTCATCTTAATACGCTGTATTAACGAATATATTTTGTTTTAGTTTTCTTTATTTTTAGCAATTTTAGTTGTACAAATATAGAATATGCTGCCAATCGCCAATTAACAAATATAAAACTTGACAAGTGCCCCTATCTCATTTTCTTGCTCTCACTAAAATCAGGTTATACTGGTGTCTCACTGGGTATATTTCTCACAATTGCAACATTTGTCTGGCCTTCAAGTTCACTTCTCCTTTCAGTTTGTTGTGAGGTCATCAATGGAGGAGGTATACAAGAAGGATATTCCAATGGAATGCCTGCCTCGAGAGTATCTTCCAGATGACTATAAAGGAAAATGCTATGGGACAACGAACGAGATGCATGGTAAGTTTTAGTTTACGGAATTTATGGTATAGATTTACTATAAAGGAAATGCTATGGGGGCCTATGGGACAAGGAACGAGATGCATGGTAAATTTTTGTCTATGGAATATATGGTATATAATTACAATAAAGAAAAATGCTATGGGATAACGAACGAGATGCATGGTAAATTTTAGTCTACGGAATTTATGGTATAGATTTACTCTGTTATTTAGAGTCAACACAGTTATTATATACTAGATAAAATATTTAGGGAAGATCAAAAGCATGCATACGTTTTATATAATACCTAAAAAAGGAATCAAGATAAGTGGTCCAAAGTTGGTATGCAAAAAGTCTGAAACAATGATTGAAAAAGGAGACGTAAAAATTATACAAACCCATCATGAAAACATGAATTGGTGTGTCAGAATGTGACAAGCCTCAAATGTAAATACTAGTAAGTCACGCTACAAATGTACGATCAATGTCCTTTCTACTTGAATCTTCGTTGTTCATTTCTTCATTCAACACTTCTAATTTGCCTTCTTTTCCAGCAAAGTTCTGGGACCAAACTAGGGAACCAGCCATTCAGAAGAAAATCTGGGATTTAAGCCACAACTATTTCAAAGTGGATGAGAAAAAGAGACCAGATGCTGATATCCCTCAAGCTGCGTTTAGAAAGTTGAATGTGGACTAGAATCATACTTTGAGTGAAAAATTGTCCCATAGGGAGGTCACTCACTCTATCATTTCAACAAAAATGCATACTATTCATTAGTCAATTGGATAAGCAAATATAATCTACCCATTTACGACAGCTCGTCAAAATGTCGACCCCATTTTCACCAAATCCTTTTTGTCATATATTTGGGGCAAAATTATTTACCTCTAAAAGAAAAAAGGATTTAATAAGTTTTAAATGCTTATGTTTTCCACTTGTGGTTCATCATTTTGCATGGTAACAGATTTTAGTTTTACTTAAAAAGAGATATCTTTGACGGATATCGCTAATAGATCATATCTAGTATGCTAGCAGACATCTTACTCTGTATTGCATCATTTATTTGATGATGAAAAAACAAGAAATTGTGTAGTCAATTCCATGGTTATAAACAAAAGCATAGTTCTCAACGTGTACATACTGTGCCATGTAGATTTGAAATATATTTAGAGCCAACAAAAAATTCTAAAAAGCAAGTCCAATGTCCTGTTTAAGAACCCATATTCGTAATTCTTAAAATGGATTCTAGCAATACAACCACACATTAATCTACTTGTTGAGATTCGATCAAACTTGAGTTCTCCAGAGAAAATGAGAACAGCAAGGATGCATTGATTTAACATGGGGATATACACCATTGACAAATAACTTTGCATGGTGATAGATACAAAATCCTCATTATCTCAGAAAGGCTCAAGTATATCGAGTCTTAACAATGTGGGAGAGTGTTGGTTGGTAGAATCCATTTTCACAAGTAAGGATATGAGTTCTTAAACAGCTTGAGTTTGAAATTTTTCGTTAGCTCTTATTCTGCGCTTCAACATTTTCAAACAGCTTTCTTGAAGTCATGGCCAAAATAGAGTGTTTCTCTTCCAACTTGTCGCATAGTTAATAAAATAGATTATTATAACTATTGCTAATCTTTGTGTAATATGTTTAAAATATCGAACTTGAATATGTTTTATGTTAGCATTTGTTACCATATTACTGACATAATCCAGGCCCGTAGCAAGGATTTGTCAAGGGGAAGGGGTCACTTTTTAGGAAATCCTAAGGGTCAATCAATGGTCTTCAGGACTGCCAATAGATGGCATAAAATTCAGTGAGTTTAATAGCATACTTTAACATGTAAAGGTAAATAATAATGAAGGAACATATAATATTTATTTGATATGTGTAGTGAATTTGAAGTTTACGAGTCCTGGCTCCCATTGAAAAGTGAAAATGTCATGATTTTGAAAGAACTTACGGCCGTTGGGGGGGGGGGGGGGGGGGGCTGGCTACGGGCCTTTAAGTGTTTATGTCTGGGATCTTAACCATCAAAACTCGATCGTAATCGACAATTATAAGCTACATGATAACGTTTCATATGTACATTGTATATACAGTGGCGTAGCCAGCAATTGGTGACCAGGGGTTCGATTTTTTATGTATCCACAAATCTCCCCCTTCATTTGTGTACCTCACATAAAAGTATTTTTTGTACATACAATTTACACCCCTCCAAAAGTTTGGCAACAATTTGATTTTCTATATTGAAATAGTTTTTGGTGAATCTTTTACTGAAAGATATTGAAATCTGGTAGCAAAATCATACATTTTATATAACAATTGTTTAATTGTTCAATGAAATCCAAATCAAGGGTTAGCATACATTGAGACAACTTTTGTAAAGGGCAAATTACAACATATCTCTAAGGAACATATTTTTTAACGAGCTACCATTGAAAAATCGTCATTCCCAATTCATCATTCAAAGAAATGTCAAATTCTGGCATGTTATTCCCACACTTTTAGATGATTTTTGAAAAGAATCCAAATCAAAAGAATTTTATCTGCCATTTCATTTTGTAATAGAGGAGTTCATAATGACCTCATGAACTTACAGTTAGTTTCTGAATACTAGTATATTCAAAAGCAAATATTTTTGAAGAATGTAATACTTATTTAATCATGGCGCACAATAAAAGTCGTAATGGCTGCACGAATACTCTCAATTGGTACTGACGATAGAAGTGACAGATGACAAATAGTATTGTATTAATGGAATGAAACATAGGCTGAAATAAAAAAAAATTGAAATAACAAAATATCCACTGTGCTCTGTAGGCTCTAACATTAAACATCTCTCTTAAATTTCAATGCCTTGCAACAAATAAAGAACAACTAATGCTGAAAAACTTATTTGTTGTGCTTTCTTTGAATTGAAAATAAAAACTTTGAAGACATTCCATTTTCTATCACAGTTCCGCTGATTTTATCATTAATGACGAGAATCATGAAATGATCCCTATCTCAGCTTATGTGTGCCCCAGCACTTTAATATTTTCCAAAGTATTATGACATTCTATTCTTCATGTTACACCTAAGAATGATTCATTTTGACCATAGGGATATTGGCCAATACTCAAACCTCTTCCTTTACTATATTTTCCTACTGGTCATATAAATTGAATATATGTTTCTGGTTATTGCAATGGATTTTTCCACAAATATTTTTTTGGGAGAAATCCCGACAGGGGGTTCGTCCGAACCCATCGAACCCCCGGTCCCTACGGCTATGATATAGTAGCTGTTTGCTTCTTGTAAACCGTTTTGTAAATGCAAGGAGTGTTTCAGTCAACTTCTTCATCTCATATCTAGGTGATCTCCAGTCAACGATAGCTTTCGTAACTGACATGGAAATTTTAGAACAATCATTTTTTGTATACCTTCATACAACATAAACTTCTGTAATTCTTATGGTTAAGAAAGTGTAACCAGATATATTTGAGCTTAGTCCAAATATGCGATGAGAAAAAGCAGCCCGCCGAGCTTGTCAAGAAAATAATAATAATGCACGATACGAATGAAAAACACAAAGGATAGGTATCGATATGGAGAACTGAATTCAACAATGTTTTTCTCTTAAACCAATCATTGAAAACATTCTGTCAAAAAACATGGTATTTTATGCAATGTCGACTGATTGACAACAATTTAATGCGAAAAATTATTTAGAAATATTTTATATAACTGTTTTTGTTAACATTTTTTGTTTTTTAAGTGCAATTGTTTTTTGCTCCTTTCTACCAATTCTTGAGAATGAAATAAAACGTCTTTCCGAACCTTGTTGGAACAAAATAGCATATACAACATGTTTTAGACCTCTCAATATTAAAGTTATACAAAGGAATTTTTGGTTGATTTTGGTTGAAAAAGTATTCAAAAAATTAAAACCAAATCCCCCCAAAATAGATGAAAATCAAGAAAAACCTTTTATTTCATTAACAAGATACTTTTTTAAAACCAACCAAAATTTCCTTTGTACAATTACAATATTGAGAGACCTTAACATGTTGTGTTTATGTCGTTTTGTTCCAATGAGGTTCGGAAAGATGTTTCATTTCACTCTGGAAACATGATACATGTACCAAGAACAAAACAAGTGTTTGATGTGTTTTTTAAAACAATATAGATGAAAGTATGTATATCTATTTCAAATTATATTGTTACCATTCAAAAGAGGGCCATTAAATTGACAATTTGTAAGATTTTCAGAAATTTTTGATGACTGGTTTAAGAGAAACGTGTGTTGAAAAAGTTCGCCATATCGATACCCATTCTTTAAGAAAGTCTCGGTACCATAGAGGATCATTTAGGAAGGCACTATTTTTTGCCATTTACAGATATATCCGAGGCTCAAGTTATTGACAACACTGTGAGGTGATGTGTAAAAACACATGTTTGAGACAGTGTTAAAATATAATGCCTTTATCATAATAAATAATTATTTATATTTATACTGATAATTAACTGATAACATATGATGGTGTTTATGCGCACCCATCGCACCAATCGCAAATCCCATTGATGTAGCATGTACCAGCCGCACAATCGAAAACTGTTCCAATTTCACCAGAACATTGGATAAACTTTGTGCAGTCTCCTTCGTAAGCGTAATTACCATCTGCCAGTCCAGTGCAGTCTGTGGCTATAGCAAGAAAAGTAAAATTAAGAATAAAGTAGTTTCAAAATGGTTCACAGTATCATTGATATATAGTTCTTTAGGAAAATTCACAAATGGTAGCTAAAATGGCCGACAATAAGAGTCATACAATACAGTACACTTGAAATTATTTATAAAGCTACTAAATGGTCCTAGGTGATTTTTCCACGACTAAAATTGCAGCCATTTTGAAAATAGGCTAGCTTTTGAAGCAGGACCCGATGGTATTTCTTATTTGATGATGAACACAAAATAATTGAAACGGGAAGTTTTGCCGATTTTCTTTCCTAAGCTATCCCGTAAAATTACTGTTTAAAGTGAAATGTTTTTTATTTTACATACATTTACAAAACTACCAAGTGGTCTTAACAGTGTCGCCCGATTTTGAAAATAAGTGAGCTTTTTGTTTAAAATAACACTATACAATACCTTGTATATGCTACGTACTTATAATTTATACAATAACTAGTCCTTATACAGTACATCGTTCAATGACAAAGGACCAGGTATGGTATGGCAAATGGTTTTATGACAGTCACATTTTTGACAATGAGGAGCTTTTCATCATAAATATATAATATTTTTCATCAACATAATACCTTCTTTCCAATTGCAACTGAGAATGAAACATTTATCAATACGACTACCCTAAAAACCATGGATAAGTACTCTCACCACATATCTCTAAAATGGTCCTAAACAAAGGTTTTTTGGAGAGTTGAATCGACATTTTTTCTATTATAACTTAACTTCGAGGAAAACATTATTAGTGTTGTATTTATGATCGGAATATAGTCATGGTAAAATATATGACTGTCTAAAATAATTTGTCATCTATCTTTTGAAGTCTGCGCTAATATGAAACAAAAACGAGAGACCAAAGACGAGTTGACCAAGTGTAATCAACTTACTTGGAGCAGCAGTTGTAGTGGGACCAGCAGTTGTAGTTGTACCAGCTGTTGTAGTTGCACCAGCAACTGTGGTCGTGGTGGCAGAGGGATCAGTAGTTGTAGGGGCTGGAGTAGGAGTGGCACCTCCGAGGACGTTCACCCAGGTGTTCAAGAGGGGGTAGACACCACCTCCACACTGATTGTTGAAATCATCGAGATCGAGAGCCCATGTCATACCTCCTGCGAATCCCTGATCTTTGATCCATTGAGCCTATTGATATATTATATAATACCATGAGCGTGGACATAAAACATATACTAGAATCCTCACAAAACACCAACGAAATCAAAACACGTTTTTAAAGCACAATTCAAATGGGAAAGAAAAAAGTATTACAGTCCATATGTAATCAGTTCAAGCAAACATGATGGTTGCACCTGCCTACCTTGAGAGCCAAACTCTCTGTGTCGTCATATCCGGCCCATTGGTTAACTGTACCGGCTGGACCAGGGTACCTCAGGAAAGGAGACTGATGCTCGCCATGCCAAGTTCGAATACCAGTTCCAGCATTCAGGAAAGCACAAATCTGAATTCAAACAATTGACAACGTGTACTGTATGATTGCCTAGATTTTATAATCCAAAGTATGCTCTTCGTTGATACGAATACTTTATGACAACACATCTATTCCTTAGCCTGAATACAAGTAAGCAAGAAATTAATATCTCGTGCAGAGAATGTCTCACCTCATACCAAGATACGAAACCTCCCTCTCTCGTGTAAGTACCAGCAGCACCCGCGCCCTTAACAGGTGCGCCGACACCATACTGTGTGACGTCAGTCAATTCAAAGGTTCTTCCGTACATGGCCAACCCAATGACCAGTTTATTCTTAGGGCATCCCCCAGCAACCCAATAGTTAGCAGCCCATTCCTAAATAGTAACATGATATCCTAAATTATTACATTTGTGACTCATTACGTATAAATAGAGAAATTTGGGCCCCCCTGTTAGCCATTTATTGCTCTTAACCATATCATATAAGTTCTTACACTGTCGATCACATTGTATGTTTTGTATATCACCATAATGCCATCCACTGCAAACTGCTCCATTACTACATGTAGTTTTAGGGCTCAATCCGTGGAATGCATAATTCTGTGCCTATGTCGAGTGTAGAATCTTACTTAATCTCTTAATCGAATAAAGTTTGTAAAAACTTTGAATCCAACTTACAATATTGAGTTGATCCTGTGGCTCTACTTCATCGGCTCTGGGATAAAGAGGACTGTTCAAACCAGTGAATGTCTCCCAGGCACCGTGCAAGTCGTATGACATCAAGTTGATAAAGTCAAACTCTCTGAAAAGTAACGATATAAACAAATTATAGAGAGGAATACTTGTCACTCGGAAGAACCAATTTTCAGACCACGTTTGGCGAATTTAACTTTGTTTGTCATCATACAATATATTCATATAATATATATACGCATATGTAATCGCCAATCACTGTATTTTACTCTGTCCCACACGATATTCGCTTTCCTATTATTTGCTTGGTTTACGGGGTTTACGCTGTTTAGAAGTCGAGTCGTACACCTGATAATCTTTAGAAGTTAAAACCATTATATTAGTTTAATTGGAAAATAGGCATAACAAGGAATGATTAAAGCAAAAATATTGTAAAAGTGTGACTTCCAAAAGAATCTTTATCCCCTTTACTCTCTCTAAACATACAGGGTGGTCCAAAAAGTGAGCCCCTGCAACGGGCCATATTTCCCTTATTACTTGCAGGAATTCTTTCATATTTTCACATGGTGTAGAGGAATGTCTAAAATGTATGTTTGTACCACACATTTGTCTTAGTCTTGAGATTTGCAGAAATTATAAGCCCTAACCAAACATTACTGAAAGTGGATAAAATGTGGTTCTTCAACCCTTCAACACTCTTCCCCTGACATTTTTTAAGCTGCAGTCTTAAGGAACTAAGTATTTTCTGACTTTGTTCAATTTTGAATCCCGCACATTATGGCTTAAAACTAGCATCCTACCTTTGTTAGTTGCAAAGTTATTGTGATCCAAAGAAATGTTCCAAGCTTTCATAGACGAAAAGATTTTCCAGTGAAATCGCGATGATCTTGGAATGTCAATATCTTCATAAATCATGGACCAATTCTCATGAAATATGGCTCAAAACATTGAATATTGGATTTTCTTATGATTTTTAAAGCTAATTGATGAAGGGTTTCTCAGATACCTGGTCACAGGGGGAACTTCCTTCCACAAGAGGCCCCCCTCTACCCGTTTGTGTAAGTAACATACCCCTGGGCTGTTGAATGGTTATAACTGCTTCAGAATGATCAATGAAAGTGTGAAATGTGTTTTCTGCTTAAATAGTGTCCCTTCTGTCATATGGTAGGGTTTTAAACTTGTATCTCTAAATGAAAGCTGTTTTAAGATCATCCGATGTGTTTCAACAATTTCCGTGAATCACATTGATCACAAAATTTTGCACAATATCTTATTTTCAGGCATGTTTGTTAAACTATTGTAATTTCTTCAAGATTTAAGACTGAGAATAAATTATGGAATCAACCAAAATTTTAGACCTTTCTCCACAACATGTGATAATATGAGCCTATTCATGCAAGTATTAAGGAAAATATAGCCTGTTGCAGGGGTTCACTTTCTTTGGACCACCCTGTATACTCCATGCCATATGCTTACTGTGCAATAAGGGCGATTTCGTATCCTGCATCAACTGTTGGTTTTCCCGCTCCGACAGCGGCAGTCAAAAGTAGGGGTTCTCTCCCGGTGTCCATGCCTTCTTGATCAAATGCAGCTCTCAGTTCCTTGGATAGATAATTAGAAATATAAGCTGTGTGTACAACGCTCTCAGGAAAGCCATTGATTCCATTTGGAATTCTATATGCTATTGTTAGGTGTTATTTTGTTATAAAAGTTCTAACTTAGGAATTCGCAATTTAAACTGCATTTACCTGGACTAAAAGTGTGAATCTCTGTTTGTCTTCTGCAGGGCTGCCTCTGCTTCCTGGGTATTCGAAGTCAAGATCCAAACCATCAAAGTTCCTGGTCCTAAGGAATGTGATACTCGTGCTCACAAATTCAGCTCGATTTTCTGGAGTTGCCAACATGGCGGTCATCTTTTCAGTGCCAAAGTTCCAGCCACCT